TGTTCTAGTCCTGAGAAGGCGCAGTAGCGCAAGGCGGACACCAGGGGGCGCAAGGACACAAGCTTTCCAGATACCGCGAGAGTTCCCCCCGCGCTCCGCGACCTCGCCGGATCTGTTTCGGAGCGTGGGGCGCGAAGAGGTTTCCCTTTGTGTTCGGGGGCCCGGCCAGCGGCGTGAGAATCGCTTCCGGGTTGCGCTACCGGAAGCAGGAAGTCGTTGGCCCACCCTCCTCGCCCGGAGACTGGTGTCCCCGAGGCGGGAGGAGCCCGAGAGGGCGCGGGCCCGCATGTGAGTGACTGGGGCCCGAGGCCGGGAGGGGGGGAGGCCGGCCACCCTCCGCGGGCGCCACAGCCTCGCGCCGCCCCTCCTCGCCGCTGCCGCCACCTTTCCCCTCCGTTCCCGTCCCCCGGCGAGAGCCTCCCCGCGTTCTGCTGACTGACACCATCCGCCGGCCATCCCTGGGGGTCGATTCCCTTCAGACATCTTTCGGAGGCTCTATCGAGGAGAGGGAAACGGGGTCTCCGACCCTGCTTGAACTCGGTTCGCAGGCGTCGCGGCCGGGTCCGAGAGCCCTCACCCCCGCTTGCCACCCTCGCCACGGATCCATTAGCATCACGAGAGCCCGGCCCCTACCCCTTGTCAGACATCTTTCCCTAATGGTTAAGGAGGAGATACTTTTATTTACAAAAGCGTGGACTTAATGTGATGAACCTGGCGCCTTAGCTTTCAGAAAGGGACGTGTCTTGGTGTACTGACCAGAGTAAAAGAACTGTTGTGTGCAGTCGCCTGCCAGTGCGAGAAAATCACTTGCCTGGTGTTTCGTCGCATTTTAAGACTTAAGGTTGCAGGCCACATGACGTGAGTATGGTGCTAGAAACAGAAAGGGACACGTTTGCTCTTCACAGTGTCAAGGTTTATCGAAGAGCAGACTCACAGGCTGGGTTCCACTGGCTGCAGTTCTGCCAAGAGTTCGAGGTTTCCCTTGACAGCTGGCCATTGCCCCATAGGTTTATCCCAGTCTTCCCTGGGGGATAGTAACTCTCACTGACACTACACAGCCACAGTAGTTCCGCCTCTCTATGGGTTATTGAATGACTACATAGCGGGTAAGGAGGCCACGCCGGGCAGAAGAGAATGTTACAGGTGTAAAGAGATAAGTGTTCAGAGGTGTGAGGGTCTCAGAGCTGAGGGAGGCCCTGAGCTAGACCTTGTCATTGGGGTGAGCTTCGGGAAAGAAGTGGAGGACGATCCAGGACAGAGAGGTGGCCACATCACCAGGGGGTGGGAGTGACGGGACCTGGCTGGGCTTGAGCTCTGCGACTGTTCTCTGTCAGCCCTTCCGGAACACGGAACACGCTGTAGGCAAAGTCAGTGGGGGCTGCTGCCATTACAGTTCCTTTTCACGGGTGCAAGTTTGGGTGCTGGTTCTTTGCCTCCGTCTCGCCGATCTGACAAGTTCTTGGGAGTGGTTTTCCTGAGTGAATTCAGTACATTTAGTGTTCATAGGGTCCCAATTTGTTCTGATAGGTTAGTTGGTTGGTTTTGTTTTTTCCTCCCTGAGTGGCCTGGAACTCACTCTAACCTCTGCCCACCTCTACCTCCCAAGTGCAGGGATTAAAGGCCTGTGCCACCACATCTGGCCACTTTGAGTTTAGGTGAGAAAGTCTGTGTTGTTTACTGTTGGAAGTAAGCGATCTGTCAGTCTGTGCCTTGCGGAAGGTGCCGTATGTGCAGGGAAGTGTATAGTCTTCCTGCCTCTGTGTTTGCACTTAAAACGGAGCCAAATGCTGGTTAGGAAGTGGAGTCACTTAGGGCAAGGCACAGCCTGAAAGCTGCTGTGCACACAGCATAGAGTAACAGAGCAGGGCACACTGATCACACCTCACCCTTGATGCTCTAAAGCCTGCATAGCCCTGGTGTTGGCTACCCTCTTAGTGAGCACGCACTGGGTAGACAGCTACTGCGCACTTAGGATCTGACCCTCACATTGCTTCCAGGTGGAGCTTTTCACAGACGTATCACTCTGATTAGGTCAACTTGAAGTTATTTCAATTTCTCTCTTAACATGCAGGGATGCCAGGCAGTGGTGGCACATGCCTTTAATCCCAGCACTCAGGAGGCAGAGGCAGGTGGATCTCTGTGAGTTAGAGGTCAGCCTGGTCTGCAGAGCGAGTTCCAGGACAAGTTCTAAAGCTATAGAGAAGCCCTATCTTGAAAAGCAAAAACAAACAAATGCAGGGAATGGGGTAATGCGCTGGACTAGTATGCACGCGTCTCTGTTCAGTTCTCAGTACTGAAAGGAAGCAAAACAGATTAATGCTTAAGTCAGGCTTTTAATCCTGGGGTTTGGGAGATGGAGGCAGGAACATTGGAAATTCAGGGCCAGCCTGGACTACATCAAACCATATCTTAATAAACAAAAAACCCACCCCTGAGGCCCCCAAGTACACTTATATTGTATAGAGTACACACGTGTGTGTTTGTGTGGAAAAGGCCACCTTTGCTGCCTTGCAGTTTTGGCTGAGTACTCATAGCTTGTATACCAGAAAGAACCAAACACAGGCCCTCTGAAATAACGGTAATCATTCATAATCACTGAATTCTCGGCAGTCTGCATTTCCTCCATTTATCCATTCATCTGCTTTGGAACTGCCTTTACTGCCTTGAAGCCTTTTTTGTGACCCAGTTTGAGTCCGTGTCCTCATCTCTGCAACACACAACACACTGGCTTCAAGCCGGCTGCTCACTAAGCCCTGGCCAGGCTGATGCGTGTCAGGAGGTGAAATGAACAAAGCACTAGTTACAATTTGGAAACCGTGCATAACGGGTCCTTTCTATGAGTTTGTCCCTTTTTTGGGTTCCATAACTGAAGTGAATTTCTGTTTCTAGTCTTTTTTTGGTGCTATTTTCTCCATTTAAAAAATATTTTTAAAAGTTATTGTTATTATGTGCATTGCTGCCTGACCTGCACGTATGTCTATGTGAGTGTGCTGGATCCTCTGAAACTGGAGTTACCACCATGTGGGTGCTAGGAATTAAACCCAGGTTCTTTGGAAGAGCTGCCAGTGCTCTTACCTGCTGAGCCATCTCTCTAGCCCCAAGTTGTTATTTTTTAATTCCTATGTATGATTCTCAGTGTATGTGCACCACATGTGTGCAGGAGGCCAGAAGAGGGTGCCAGGTCCTGTGAGATGGCTGTGTGTGTGTTAGTCATAGGTGTCATGTGGGTATCGAGAACCAAACCCAGGTCCTCTGAAATAGCATAAGTGTGCTTGACCCCTAAGTCATCTCAGCAGCCTTTATCTGCCCTGAAGAACCCAGTATGTTTGGGAGGGAGATGGAGGAGGAAGTGACAGAGTGGTATGAGGTTTAAATGATGAACTCCAGGTTGAGGGCTTGGTGTGTTAATTATTTGGGCAAAGCCCTGGAAGATAGGCTTTTTAGGAAGAGAAATTAAATGTGCAAAGGCAGATAACTGTGAAGCAGAAAAAGACGAGAAAAGGTTAATGGAAAATGAGATGGGTCAAGTAGACTGTGACCAGATCAACAAGGACTGTGGGAAATCATTAAGACTTCATTTTATACAATTATTATTTAATATTTATTTACTTAGGTATTGTAACAAATATTTCACATGCCATTGAATAATCCTCAGTTGGAGTAGCTATAATTACCACTCCTTTTTAACAAAAACAAAAAAACAGGATCTCATGTAGCCCAGGCTAACCTCAAACTTGCTTTGTAGCTGAACTTCTAATTGTCCTGACTCTAATTCCTGAGTGCTAGAATTATAGATGTATACCCCATCTCGGATTCATTATCTCTGTTTTGTAAATTAAACATTGTAAGCTTTAAGGAGGTTGTCAGTAAGCAGAAGAAGCTAAGTGGATCCAGCTTTTCCTGCTCTAGCTCCTGTGTCCTTAGCAACCATGCAGTGCCCCAGAAGAGCAGCTTACGCCAGACACACTGGTTTCAGAAAATAACCCGTGAACAAGAGCAAGGCTGGGCTGAAGAAGAAGGCTGGGATCTAGAGACCACTGTATCTCTGTGATGGTCACACAAGAACTGTTCTGTTGTTACCTGTTGTTAACTATTCACCTCTGTTTTTTTAAATTTTTTATTTTTTTATTTTTTTGGTTTTTCAAGACAGGGTTTCTCTGTAGCTTTGGAGCCTGTCCTGGAACTAGCTCTTGTAGACCAGGTTGGCCTCAAACTCACAGAGATCTGCTTGCCTCTGCCTCCTGAGTGCTGGAATTAAAGGTGTGCGCCACCACTGCCCTGGCACTATTCACTTCTTTCCAGATAAAATCTCCATTTTCTAACCCTGGTTGGCCTGGAGCTCACTGAGATGAGCTGACCTCAGACTTGCAGAGACCTTTTGTCTCTGCTACCCAAGTGTTGGGAGTATGGACATCACCTGAATCAGAAGGAGTCAGTGTGACTTCATTGGCATGAATGAGGCAGAGGGAAAGTTTCAGTTTAAATCAAGAAGAGGAAGAAGGAAAGGGCCTGAGAGATGGCTCAGCAGGTCAAATTCTGATGACCCGAGCTCGATCTCTGGGACCATCTGTAAGGGCAGACCTGACCTCCGTGTGTGTGTGTGTGTGTGTGTGTGTGTGTGTGTGTGTGTGTACACAAAATAAGCATTTAAGAAGGAAGTGTGATGGGAGAGTGAGTGACAGGAAAACAGGTTCAGTACTGACACCGTCCATGGTGCTCAGTTTGGGTCAATCCGTGGTTGGCTCTCGGGCTCTAAAGAGAGTTGTGGACTGAAAGAGTTTGGGAATCGACAATAGCTGTAGTTGACGCCACGGAGGGAAGGAGAAGGTCGAGGACAACTGGCGAATGTTAGCCTCCACTATGAGAAGGAGACAGTTATGCCGAGGTTGAGAGGACTGGGAAGAAAATGGGTAGTAATGGCGGGTGCTTAGCAGAGGTCAGATAGAGCAGGCGCTGAAAAACGCCCTTTGGACTTGGCACCAGGAAAACCGTTGGTGACTAGTGAGAGCCAAATCAGTCAAATGAGAGCGCAGGAATATGATTCAGCAGGTTAGTGAAGGAATGGAGGCCTGAGGAAGAAGACAGTAAGTGAGGCCATCCCCTCGTGGATTTGGCTCTGGAGGGAGGGGACAGATTCTTCTAGTAATAGAAACAGGAAAAAGCAAGACTTGGAGTAGGTAGAAATCAGTTTAAAGATGTGCATGTGTGTGTGTAAGGGGAAGAGATCCAACTACATACCGAACATTAGGTAACGTTAGAGATTTAGTTGTTTTTAGCGAAGGTGGTAATGAAGCATGCTTATTGTTACCTAGGAAATTCTTACTATGGGATGATGAAATGTCTAGAGGTAATATAATTATGTGTCATAGTTAATTCAAATGATTCTGATAAAAACAGGAGGGTGTGTACCAATGTTGACAACAGATAGGTCTTAAGTGAACCTGTGTGTTTATTGGTCTTTCTGTTTTTCAGATGTTCGAAATCCTTCACAATGAAAAGTTTGGGTGAAAATATAGAAATGAGAGTGTATCCATGGGATGGCTGTTTTCTCTCAAGTTAGGAAGGGCTAGAGCTGCCAAGAGTGCGGAAGCGTTTGAAAAACAAACACAGAACCTCAAGTCTTGCCAGACAGAGATGCCTGGAAAGACGGCCATCAGATCACACGGTAGAATGCAAAAAAATGTGTTTCTTGATTGTAATCTCTTTGTGCTTTACTCCCACCCGGTTTTGGTTTTTTTGAGACAAGGTCTCTGTAGCCCTGGCTGTCTTGGAACTCTGTGTAAACTAGGCTATCCTTGAACTCACTGAATTTATAGGAATGCATCACCATGCCTGGCATGTTAAACTCCTGAGTATATTCAACATATAGAAAGCTGTATATGTTTAAATTATGCAGCCTGGTGTGGCTGCAGACACTGAAACTGCCACACAGCCCTTGCCTGTCCATCATCCCAGAAGGTTTCCTCTTGCAAGATCTACTTTAGCATTTAAAAAAAAGAAACCTTTTATTTTCAAAGGTTTGTTTAGTTTACTGTGTGAGTGCAGATACACACATGGAGCACATGTGGAGGTCAGAGGTCGACTTTTGGGGAGTCAGTTTTCTTCTTCCTCTTTGAGGCAGCCACTGTGCTAAGCAGGCTAACCCTTGCTACCCATCTGTCCACAGGAGTACCTACCACTGTATCTGGCATTTTTTTCCTGTGGGTTCCAGACATTGAACTTGGGTCTTTAGGTTTGCATAGCAAGCACTCATGTCTTCAGAGTCATCTCCCCAACCCCATTATTTTGTTTTTGTCTGTGTCTTGAGGATTGAACCCAGGGCCTTTTGTGTGCTAGGCAGGTGCTCAATCACTGGGCTGTATTCAAAGTGTAGTTTTAGTATGGAATATAGTATTAGCCCTAGGCACTGTGCTCTATGGTAGATCTCTGTAATTTATTTTTCATTTATGACTAAACCCTTACTGCATTTATTTATTTTGTGTGTACAGTATGTGTGTATGAGTGCACACCTGCCATGGAGCGTTATGTGGAGGTCAGAGGACAACCTGCAGGACTTGGCACTCTCTTTCACCATGAGGGTCCTGGAGCTCAAACTTGGGTTATCAGGGGTGGCAGCAAGCCACTTTGCCAACTGGGCCATCTTGGTAGCCTCCTAAAACTTTCTAATCTTTGACTCATTTTTCTTGAGTTTACCTAGCCCCTACAACTGCCACTTCAGGGCTTGTTTGTATTTAACTAGTTTATATTAGTTTGCAATGGCACTATATTGTTGGTGTTCTTGAGACTTCCCTTTCAGAGACTAACTAACTTCCCATTGTATTTATATCCACGTTCTGTAAACTAGTGGAATTCAACTCCACTAACCTATGAGTGAACTCTGGGTTGCTTCTGTCTGGGCTATTGTAAAGAGTGTTGCAGTGAGCTTGAGGGAGCAGGTAGCTCCTCAAAACCCATGCTTCATTTCCTTTGAATATATAGCTACCCATAGGATTGCTGGAGGCTAACAATCTGTTGTTCGTTTCCAACATGCCCATGTTATTTTCTGCTTTCGTGCTTACCAACGGTGAAAATTAAATTATTACTGTTTAAATCACATAAATCATTTTAATGTTTTGTCAGTTATTTCCCCTTAAATATGTTTAGTTTTTCTTGTTCTTGTTTGTGTTTTTATTTGTTTATTTATTTATTTTGAGGCAAGATCTCTCTGTGTAGTTTTAATGTAGCACAAATAATAAAAACCTAGAGATAGATGTTGGGGTTCAAGCTGAAAATCAAAAAAGGAAAGCAGCCAACCACTAGAGAGCTCTTACCTCTACAAAATCTTCACACTGAAAGAAAGTTCCTGTCTCATCCCACCCTATATTCCTCTCTAGTGCTGGTGTATACCACCATTGCCTGGCCTGAATGGCTAACTAGTGTGGCTGCTGGCATTAAAGGTGGTGTGTCACCACTGCCTGGCCTGTGTGACTAACTAGTGTGGCTGCTGGGATTAAAGGTGTGTGTCACCACTGCCTGGCCTGTATGACTAACTAGTGTGGCTAGCTCTGCACTCTGATCTTCAGGCAAGCTTTATTTGTTAAAACACAAATAAAATATCACTGTACTGACTGTCCTAGAATTCACTCTATAGTCCAGTCTGGCCTTGAACTCACAGAGATCCACCTGTTTCTTCCCCCCAAGTGCTGGGATTAAAATCATACACCATCACACCAGGCTCTTGGTAGTTTTTAATTGCAATCTGTTAGATGCATTGTTCTCTCCGTAGAATCTGTCTTCAGTCACGAGAACCTTGGGATGGCACTGAATGGAATGTATTCATGAAGAGTGCACAGCACACCCCACAGCCATCTAGGGAGCCAAACGGAGAGAGAATTTCTCTGAGTATTGTTCTTACTGTCCTCAGCTGGAATGTGTGCTTTACAGCTAAAGCATCATTGGATCAGCATCGTATCTTAGAGTCGCTGGTCAGCCACAGCTGTTCATGTCAGTGTTTAGGACACGTCACTTGTCAGGCTAGTGCAAAAGTGACAATATTTATTCTGCTCTCTTAGCCATTTTTCTGCCTTCTTCAAACTTGTTTGACTTTGATTATAAAGTTTACTTAGTGTGAGATGCCTGTGTCCTTCACCTCACATGATTTGTGTAGGCATTTAGCTCATCAAAGCATCATAAAAATGGTAAGTACAAAACATTTTAGGAGTGAGACTAAATTCATATGACTTTATTTTATACACACACACACACCTTATGCATGTAGTCCCCGTAGAGGTCAGAAGTGGGTATTAGATTCCCTAGAATTAGAGTTACAGGTGGTTGTGAGCCATGATGTGGATGCTGGGAACCAAACCCAGGTTCTGTGCAAGAGCAGCAAGTGTTCTTAATTGGTGAGCCCTTTCTTTATCCCCTGTTTTTCTTTCTTTCTTTCTTTCTTTCTTTCTTTCTTTCTTTCTTTCTTTCTTTCTTTCTTTCTTTTTTGCTTTTGTTTTTGTTTTTGTTTTTGTTTCAAGACAGGATTTCTCTGTAGCTAGGGAGTCTGTCCTAGAACTAGCTCTTGTAGACCAGGCTGGACTCGAACTCACAGAGATCCACCTGCCTCTGCCTCCCGAGTGCTGGATTAAAGGCTTGCGCCACCACCGCCCAACTTGTTTGGTTTTTGAATCAGGGTCTTACATAACCCAAGATGGTCCTGAACTCGATTTATAGCTGAGAATGGCCTGGAACCCATAGTGCCACCATGTTCAGTTCTTCTGTCAACTCTTTGCTGACAAGTTTTTCCCAGCAGTCCTGTGAGCCATGCTCCTATGCTATGCTATTTCCACAGGGACTGAGGCCCAGGTGGAGTTGTGGGGAATATCTCATCAGAACTGCCCTGCTTCTGTTCCTGAGGTCCCTCTCCACTGCGAACCAGCACCCTGGCTCGCCCCTGGCAGGACTCTCTTGAAAACCAGGCTCAGTTCTTTTTTCTTTGAGAAGGACCATTCTTCATTGTGAAGGACTGTCTGGGTCCTGTGTGATGCTGGCCCTTACCCACTAGATGCCAATAGGACTCTTCTACTTTTGATCTAATTTTGACAGTAAATATAGGGGAAACCCCTTCGGACATCACCAAATGTCCCCCAAGAACAGAATCACTTGATTGAGAGCTGCTGTCCTAAAGTAACCTTCTTTAAAGGGAGTGTTCCTTTGTTACTTTCGTTGGTCTTGCAGTGCTGGGGATTGAACTGAGGCTCTTCTGCTGAGCTAGCTGGCCTCGGACTGTGCCTTTAATCAGCGGGGAAGACTGGAAAGCCTTGTGTCGAGTCCCACTCCCAGAGCTTGTCACTCTCAGCCAATAGTCTCCCATATCTGTGGCTTTAGTACCTGCAGTGCGTACATTTTCAGTGTGCCCTCCTGAGTAGCATGCTGAACTCTCACACTGACCTGCCTGGGGCAGTCATCACTTGTTCAGTGTGCCTGCGCCTGCCACCTGCTTGTTAGTAACAGAACAGTGTCTTGTCCCAAGGGTAACCCCTGATGTCCATGTCCTTCACCTCATGTGACTTGTGTAGGCGTTTAGCCCATCCCAGCATCATTAGAAGGGTAAGTACAAGACATTTTAAGAGTGAGACTAAAGTCATGTGACCTTATTAGAGTATATTATCTATTTCATTAGTAGTTATTGTTGCTATTTCACTGCTGAATTTGTAAATTGAACTTACTTATAAATGCACACGAAAACGTGGTGTGTCTTAACAGTTCAGTACAATGTGGTTTCAGGCTTGTGCTGGGTGTCTTGGAACATCTCCCCCATCGCCAACAGAGGACGACTGTATGTCAAGGGTGGGGGGACAGAGGCCTTGGTTTCCTAACCCCCTGGTGACCCTCCTGTGCCCTTGCAGGGTTAAACCACTGTTAAAGAGTCAAGCTCATTCTTCCGAACTTCCCTCCGAGGCAAAGCTCCTTTCTGCCAGGCTGGACCCTCTTTCTGGAGGTAAATGGACTGTCTGTCTTCAGGCCTCAGCTGATTACTCCTGCTCGTGCTCAGTGTTCAGCGGTGACTTTGTGTTTCATGTGTCTAAATGGGCAGGATTGCTGTTAGCTAATTAATGTTATACCACTGATATTCTCCCTGATAATTCTTAGAGTCTCCAGTTTAAACAGGAAACTGCTGTTTCTGCAATCACTAGTCACAAAAGAATCACATGGTATTATCATTTTATTCCCTTTGAATGTGTTCTGGGGGTTGAACCCAGAGCCCTGTCCTTGCCACCGCTGTCCTGAATCCCAGGCCTTGTGTTTTCTGTGGCAGTTACTGGAGTGCTGTGGTGTACCTTAGCTGTCTTTCCTTCACAGCCCTCGTTGCTTTTGTGCCTAGTGATGCTCTATAAGAGTAGCGATAGGGGGCTGGAGAGATGGCTCAGAGCTCCTCTTCCAGAGGTCCTGAGTGTAATTCCTAGCAAGTACATGGTGGCTCACAACCATCTGGAATGACATTTGGTGCCCTCTTCTGACATGCAGGCAGAACATTATATACATAATTAATGAAATAAATTTTTTTTTTAAAAAAGGAGTAGCAGTAGGATTTTTATGATTACAGAATCATTACAGAGATCACCTTATTAATCTTTGGAAATGTCCCTAATTTTGTTTGGGGGAAGGTTGGGGGTTTATGTGTTCCAGGCTGGCCTTGAACTTGCTTTGTAGCCAGAATGACCTTGAACTTCTGATCCTCCTGCCTTCCAAGTGCAGTTTCTTACAGTTCTGGAACCCAGGGCTTTGTACATAGTGAGCAGACTTTGCCAACTGAGCTACATCCTCAGCTCCCAACCCCACCCACTTGTGCTAAGATCACAAGGTTTGTGCCACCAGTACTTGGATTGAAATACTGCATTTTCGTTTGTTTGGTTTGATGCCCTCTAGTCCCTCCTGCTTGCTCATCGAGAGTAGCTTTGTGGAAGGAATGAGGTCCAGACGAAGTGCGGGTGCAGCTGGCTTCAGATGCATCTTTTCACCCAGAAATTAAAGCATTGAACTGGGTGACTTGTAATGATTGTTCTAGTCTGCACACACTAACAAGTAGTTTATAGTTGGGAACACATGCAATAAGAGAATCTCCATTGGAGGGCTGGGCATAGTGGTAGATGCCTTTAAAATGCCTTTATCTTTAAAATATTTTATTTTTTAGTGTGCATGGGTGTTTTGCCTGCCTGTGTATCTGTCTTATTGCAGTATCCTTAGAGGCCAAACGGGGCATCAGATCCCCTGGGACTGGAGCTCTTGATAGTCGTGGGCCCCTGTAGATACTATGAATCAAACCCAGGTCCTCTGGAGAAGCCAGTGCTTTTAACCACCAAACCATCACTCCAGCCCTAATGTGTGCTTTTTTTGTTTGTTTGTTTGTTTTTTGTTTGTTTGTTTTTTCGAGACAGGGTTTCTCTGCGGCTTTGGAGCCTGTCCTGGCACTAGCTCTTGTAGACCAGGCTGGTCTCGAACTCACAGAGATCCGCCTGCCTCTGCCTCCCGAGTGCTGGGATTAAAGGCGTGCGCCACCACTGCCCAGCTTTTATTTTATTTTATTTCTTTGGAATGTGTGCTTTTGATCCCAGGCCAGAGACAGGAGGATATCTGTGAGTTCCTGGCTGAGCCGAGGGTGAACTCCTGGTCCCTCTGTTTCCACCATACAGATGTGTGTAACCATGCCCATGTTTACTCAGTGCTAAGGATTGACCCTAGGCCCATGAACACTAGGCAAGCACTGACAACTGAGCCACCTCCCCAGACCGTAGACTTCTAGAAGAATCCTTTTATAATTTGTTTTGCTGACCCTCAGCTAGTTTATTGTTCTCTTTGTCCACACGTATATGCACGTCTTTATTAGATGCACCAGACATTGACCTCTGGTAAGGATATGCACTGTCTGTGGCCTGCCCTCATAGACCTCAGAGGCCAGTGTCTGGGCAATAGGAAAGAAAATGCAGTGTAAAATAATAAATGCCACAGCAGAGCTAAGTTCAGATCCATAAACTTACACTAGACCTTTATTAAGATATAAGTTATATGTCACAGAGTTCACCCACGCAAAAAGCATGGTTTATGCTCACAATTTGTATAGCCGTCATTGGCATTCAAGATGAGGACATTTTGTCACTCTGGAGAGAGGGCCTCCAGCTACTGCCGTTATCCTTGGATCTCTCCACTCTTTTCTCCAAGCAAGCATCAGTCCACTTTTTATTTGTAGACTCGCCTGCTCTCGGGTGGTCTCTGTGGTTGTCTTCCACTTGTCACAGTGTTTTCAAGGCGGGGCCACATAGCTTGTATTAGTACGCCATCACTTTTTATTGTCCTGTGATAGTCTGTAAGTGGCTGTATCACACTTCTTCCTGACTTCATTGCTTCATTGAATTGCTTCTGGTTTAGGACTGTTGTGAATAATGCCACTGCTAACATTTGTCTTCCAGTATTTGTGTGGACGTATGTTTTGAGTTCTCTTGGGTACATACCTGTGAGTAGAATTGTTATATGACATGTTAACTCATTGTCTAACTTTGTAAACTGACAACTGTTTTTCCACAGTGCCTGTACTATTTTACATCTCCATTAGTAGCTTCTGTTGTTGTTTTTTTTTTCTAGTTCTTGTTTCACACACTTTATTCCCCAAATGATTTTTAACTTCAAAACTTACTGACATGGTACATGTGTATTCCTTTAAAAACAAACAAACAGTAAAACAGGGTTTCTCTATGTAGCCCAGGCTGGTCTGTATTTGATGTTGTAGCTAAGCCCAGATTGACCTTGAAATCTTAATCTTTCTGTCTCAGCATTCTAGGTACTAAGATTAAAAGCCCTCAAAAGGCTGAGGCAGGAGGATCTGTAGTAGAGTGCTTACCTAGCATACGTGAGGCCCTGGGTTCAGTCTCCAGCATTACATAACACACACACACACACACGTCTTCAGCCAGTGGTAGTGGACCAATGGGATATCCATTGTAAGAGAATGAAGTTGGATCTTCCTTTATATCACATAAAAATAAAATTTAAGGTGGTTCAGAAAACTAAATATATAAGCTAAAATTATAAAACTTCTAGAGCCAGGCAATGGTGGTGCACGCCTTTAATCCCAGCACTTAGGAGGCAGAGGCAGGCAAATTTTTTTGAGTTTGAGGCTAGCCTGGTCTACAGAGTGAGTTCCAGGACAGCCAAGGCTACACAGCAAAACCCAGTCTCAAAAACAAAATAATAATAATGAAATTAAAAAAAAAAAAGCTCTTAGAAGAAAACCTCTGTGTGGCTGGAGAGATGACTCAGTGGTTAAGAGCACTGACTTCTCTTCCAGAGGGCCTAGGTTATATACCCAGTACCCACATAGTGACTTACCACTATCTGTAGCTCCTATACCAGGGGATCTGGTGCCATCCTCTGGTCTCTGAGTGTACCATGCACACATAGGGCATGCAGCCATGCACCCATATACATAAAATAACCTTTAAAAATTTTAAAAGGAAAAAAAACTCCGTGAGATCGACCTAGGCACTGGTTTCTCCCGTGTGATGCAGAAGCACAAGTAGCAAAGGGAGGATCTGGACCTCTGCAGAGTGTAGAAGCTGTGGTGCAAAAAAGCCATCAAGAGAATGAAATTGGGGGGCGGGGCTCTTACAGATCCAGAGTGTGCAGTGCTAAACTTCTGCTCTCCACAGTCACCTGCGCGTGCACCTGTGTGCGTGCACACATATGTGTACACACATACACATTTATAAACTTTAAAAAAAAAGAAGAAAGGTACAAAAAGGAAGTCAAATAGAACCTGCTTTGGTGGTGCACACCAAAGGATTAGAATTCAAGGAAGGCCTTTGCTACACATCAAGTTTGAGGCCAGGCTGGGCTTTATGAGACTTTTCTTTTAATAACTAAATAATTTTTTTAAGAGGCAGAAAGAAGCCAGGCGGTGGTGGCACACACCTTTAATCACAGCACTCAGGGAGGCAGAGGCAGGCGGATCTCTGTGAGTTTGAGGCCAGCCTGGTCTACAGAGCTCCAGGACAGCCAGAGATACACAGAGAAACCCTGTCTCGAAAAACAAAACAAAATAAAAAAAAAAAAAACAAGCAAAAATCTTTAAAAAGGCAGAAAGAAAGAAAGTGAAATGGGACTGAGCCTTTGGTTCAGCCCTAGTACTGCCAACAGGAAGAAGGCAAGCTTCGATGTCGGAAGGGAATGTTTGCAATGTCTGGTAAGGGCCTGCTGTCCAGGACAGAGCACACTGAAAATTCCTTCAGACTAATAATGAGACAGCCCTTCCTGTAGAAGAGGACTCTCAGTGGCCTAGGAGCACCCAAGAAGATGCTCAGCATCACCAACCTTCAGAGAAATACAGATCAAAACGGCCGTGAGCCACCACCTCCCATCCCCTGGGGTGGCTGCGTTCTAAAGTCAGGAGCAGAGCTCCGTGAAAACTCTGTGGACCCCTGCCTGCTAGTGGTGTGAGCACAACAGCCCACAAGAGGAGCAGGTTGGATCTACCTTGTAGGCTCTCTAGGAGATTCTGATGTGCAGGCTGTGTTCAGAGCAGTGGACCAAGTGTTTAGGCAGAAAGGAGGCCAATCAGAAGATGCCCGAGGGAGGCAGGAGGCACAGAGGGAAAAAGGAGTGCACTCGTGTGTCCTGAGCAGTGACATGTCAGGCCTCTGCTTTGTGGAGCTGCTCGGCTGCTTGACAGGCGCAGCATCTTCTTACTGAAGATTCCACATGCTCCATGCCAGGAGTTGTCAGGGTTAGAAGCACTTTGAGACTGAAGTGGGCAACCAAGAGGATCCTCTCCTTTTAAGGGGGGGAAATCCTAAGCACGGTTCCTCCTATATGAAAAAAATGTTGAATGTATTTAATTTAAAAATTTGGGGGTTCCATATTTGCTGGAGAGATAGCTCAGCAGTTAAAAGCACCTGACTGCTTTTCCAGAGGACCTGGGTTCAATTCCCAGCACCCACATCACAGTTCTAGGGGACCTGACACCCATGGCAAAACCAATGCACATAATATTTAAAAAAAAAATTTTTTTTTTTTGAGGTCTAACTGTGTAGCCCTGATTGGCCTGGAACTCTATAGATCAGGCTGGCTTGGAACTCACACAGATTCACTTGCTGCTGCCTCCCGAGTGCTGGGATTAAAGATGTACCTTACCGTGCACAGCCTGGTTAAATGACATTTTATGAGTCATGCATAAACTAGATGCAGTGACCTGTCTGGGACTGTAATCTCAGCATTGGAGAAACTAAGTCAAGAAAATCACTCAAGCCTGAGAATTCTAATACCCTGAGCAACATAACAAGATACGGTCTCAAAACAGAGAACAAAACGATAGTTTGAAAAGTGTTGTACAGGGGCTGGAGAGATGGCTCAGAGGTTAAGAGCACTGGCTGCTCTTCCAGAGGTCCTGTCTTCAGTTCCCGGCAACCACATGGTGGCTACAACCATTGGTATTAGGATTTCATGCCATCTTCTGGCCTGCAGGTGTACATGCAGAGCACATAAAAATATATAAATAAAATTTAAAAAGTAGAATAAATTAAAAAAAAAGTGTAGTTCATACAACAGTTGGACATTGTCTTTCCATGCTCATTGTGTTTGGTCTGCTGTAGTTTGGGAGTAAAAAACACAAAATTTGTTGCTTCAGGGTCAAGAAACATTGTTGGGCAGGAAGCATTTTTAAAGAAACTGTCATTTGCTGGGCGGTGGTGGTGCATGCCTTTAATCCCGGATCTCTGTGAGTTCGAGGACAGCCAAGACTGTCATATAGAGGAACCCTGTCTTAGAAAAAAACAAAAAGAAAGAAAAAAAACCTGTCATTTGCCAGGTGGTGGTGGCTCACACCTTTAATCCCAGCATTATGGAGGCCAGCATGGTCTACAGAGTGAGTTTCAGGACAGCCAGGGCTACATAGAGAAACCCTATCTCAAAAAAAAAAAAAAAAAGGAAGAAGAAGAAAGAAGCTCGTTGTCCTTTTGTTCTCTCCAGGGATTTCGTTTTGGAAGACATGGATCTCGCTGCTAATGAAATCAGCATCTATGATAAGCTTTCAGAGACCGTTGATCTGGTGAGACAGACAGGCCATCAGTGTGGAATGTCAGAAAAGGCGATCGAAAAATTTATCAGACGGCTGCTGGAGAAGAATGAACCTCAAAGGGGACCACCCCAGTACCCTCTCCTCTTAGCCATATGTAAGGTAAAGTGTTGCTTGTAGAGCCTATCTCAGGGGCTTCAGCTTCCCTTCCTGTTACTGCTGACTGATCCAGTACTGAACTTTCTCTGTAGCTTTAGAACCTGTCCTGACTGGCCTTGAACTCACAGAGATCCACCTGCCTCTGCCCCTATCCCCCAGTGCTGGGATTAAAGTCGTGCACCACCACCGCCCAGCTCTGAACTAAGTTTTCCTTGCATAAACCAGCCATTATCCTTGCTGTCTGTTGCTAGGAAATGTGACTTGTGTGACGTGAAGTGAAAGCTGTGTGTGTAGTGGGCATAGCCCCTGGTTGTGGGGTGGAAGCTTGGAGAGCCTTGCAGGCCTCACAGCTCTCGAGCTTTGACCGCCTTTGGAGTGCAAGCAAATGGCTCGGTTATGAGAGTGGATCAGTTCTAGGTATACTGCAAATAGCAGAAGAGGCTTGCTTTTCTCCTCAGTATTATGCATGGAACTTCCTTGTTGGGGCAATTCTTAATGCCACTCTTGTCTTTCCTTCTAGGTCCTCCTAACTCTGGGATTAATCTTGTTCACTGCCTACTTTATAATTCAACCTTTTAGCTCATTAGCACCCGAGCCAGTGCTTTCGGGAGCTCACACCTGGCGTTCACTCATCCATCACATTCGGCTGATGTCCTTGCCCATCGCCAAGAAGTATCTGTCAGAGACTGAGGGCGTTCCTCTGCAAGAAGAAGAGGAAGACAAACCCTTCCCAGGTAGAAGGCTGCACTTAGAGATGGGTGTTCTTTTTGTTTAATTTGTTGTGTTTAAGATAGAATCTCATGTTGCTGGACCTGTCCTAGAACTTGATTTGAGCCTCAGGCTGGCCTTAGTCCCACCAGTGCTGAGATCCACTTTTCTTGATGATACTTAATAGAAAATGATTTATTGGTATCTAATAAGAGACATCTTCCTAATATCGTCCTCATTCTATCCTTGCTAAGACTGTGACTATTTTGCAGACAGGAAATCTAAGGCGCAGAGAAGTTAAACTTGCCCGAGAAACATGTCTGGTGGAGCCAGATTCAAATTCTCTAATGTTAGGGATGGAGTCTGCAGAAGGGCTGCCCTCTCTCTAGGGCCTCTCCCCTGGGGTTTCTGCGTGTGGTGGCTAGCTCTAACCAGGCCCTCGCCCTGCTTTGTCCTACTGGGCTGTCCCTCTCACCTTGCCCTTTACCACTACCACAGTAAGTCACGGTATTAATGCAGCTCCAGAGGATGGCAGTTTTCCCCACAACCAGATCAAGAGACACTTTAACAATCATGGAGCCACAGGGACTCGGTTAGAAAACAGTGTCGTAAGGGATCACGTCAAACCTACATTTTGAGAAAGCATAGAAGGAAGGCTGTTGCTCAGGGTATTTGGGATCTGAGTCTTATCTTCTCTTTCTCCTTTTCCACGCTGAAGATTAAACCCAGGCCTTTGGACAGTTAAGACTAGAACTATACTCCCAATCCCCCTTTAGAGTTTGAAAAAAAATTTATTAGTATCATGTGCATCATGTATATGTGTGTGTGAGTACAGACACATGTGCATCACGTATATATGTATGTGAATACAGGCACATGTGCGTCATGTATGTGTGTGTGAGTACAGGCACATGTGCGTCATGTATGTGTGTGTGTGTGAGTACAGGCACATGTACGTCACGTATATGTGTGAGTACAGGCACATGTACGTCATGTATATGTGTGAGTACAGACACATGTGCGTCACGTATATGTGTATGTGAATACAAGCACATGTGCGTCATGTGTGTGTGTGTGAGTACAGGCACATGTGCGTCGTGTGTGTGTGTGTGTGTGTGTGTGTGTGTGTGTGTGTGTGTACAATGAGCAGTCACGATCGTGGAGGACAGCTTCAGGAGTTGGTTAGCCTATTAACGGAGTTCTGAGGACTGAACTTGAGGTGTCAGGTTTGCCTGACAAGCACTTGTACCCACTGATCCATCTTGCCAACCTGCTCAAACCCTGGTTGCTTTCTGTTTGTTTTGTTTGTTTGTTTGGTTGGTTGGTTGGTTGCGTGTTTTTGTGGTATCACTCCCGTTTGTCCACATTTTCTTTATAACTTTCCTCTGAAGCCTTAGGATCCAGGGTCTTAGAAAATGTTTCAGGAAAAAGACTCTCCCTGACTTTTATAAAATCATAGTGTCATTCCTTTAAGCCTGACTTTGACAGCCATGAAAGTCGCCTTTGAAAGCTATCTGTGTTCATTTGAGGAAGTTATGAAAAGGTTTTCCAAATTATATCAAAACCAGAGGAAGGGAACATTGTATGATAAGAATGCTGCGCCAGACGGTGTTGGCGCACGCCTTTAATCCCAGCACTCGGGAGGCAGAGGCAGAGGCAGGCAGATCTCTTTGAGTTCGAGGCCAGCCTGGTCTACAAGAGCTAGTTCAGGACAGGCTAAAGAACTACAGCAAAACCCTGTCTCGGGGGGAAAAAAAAAAAAAAAAAAGTTCTTCAACATATTTGTGGGGTTAAACTCTGCCCCAACTTTTTTTGTTCTTAAACTGACAGGAAATATCATATTTATTTATTGCCATACNGAACATTGTATGATAAGAATGCTGCGCCAGACGGTGTTGGCGCACGCCTTTAATCCCAGCACTCGGGAGGCAGAGGCAGAGGCAGGCAGATCTCTGTGAGTTCGAGGACAGCCTGGTCTACAAGAGCTAGTTCCAGGCAGGCTAAAGAACTACAGCAAAACCCTGTCTCGGGGGGAAAAAAAGAAAAAAAAAAAAAAAAAAAAAAAAAAAAACGACAAAACTCTGCACCGTGATTTTTTGTTCTTAAACTGACAGGAAATATCATATTTATTTATTGCCATACAGTTGAACAGCAGTTTCTAGTACCACAGTTAGCAATTCTATTGGAAATGTGTGCACTTACCCTAATTGGCATTTTCTCTCAGATTTCTGACATAGACTCTGGATGCCACTGAAAATATTTGCATTAAAGATACTCATGGCTGCCTGCCCAAGATGGGACCAGCATCGCTCCATCATAAATGGGGAGGGCTCAAGAGACCCCGCCCACCCTGAGGAGCACTTAAGTGTTGCTGGTTCAGCGGGGTAGCCACTGGTGTCCATGCTCTAGCAGGAACACCCCCATATACGCTCGTACAGACAACCTGAACTAAGCCCAGTGGACAGTTTTCAGTCGGAACTTACATTTGCACTGGGAAGGCCTGGGCTGGCCCTCATGTGGGAAGCTGTCTCTACTTACTGCATTCTGACCCTTCTAAGGAAGGAGGACGTGGATGCAGTGTCATCGAGGAGTTAGGTAAATGACGGGCCCGTCATTGCTTCAGAACTAAGGAATAAGTAAGGGTCTGTGGTGCTGGAGGCCTTGTTGGTGCTCAGTGAGTTCTGCTGAGCTGCCCAGCCCTGCCTGCCTCTCTTACTTGCAAATAAGCTCCCCTGTGGTGAGAGCTCTGACCAGCACCTGCACACTGCGCTTGGTCTTTGTGTTCATTTCTCAGCCTTCACAGGCTCCCTTAAGTGTTTGTGGCACCTCAGAATGCGGGACGTGCTAAGATGGGGACTGGCTAGCTTGCCTAAAGCTGGAGAGAAACAGCCGGACTCATGCGGACAGGGCTCTATTGGAATAGCTCCAGTGCTGTGCTCCTCAAAGTGAGTGGCGAAAGGTTGCCCTGTCCATTCCCACTTTGTGTGAAAATGGCTCTGGGCATGCTGCCTTCGACATAGGGCACCTTGAAAAGGTCACCTTCTGTGCAACAGGAGCTTTCAGAGTCTGATGAAATAGTGAGCACAGGCCATGGGAATGAGGGCCCTTTGTCACCAGCTTGGCAGATTCTTCTGAGCACATCCCTAGAATAGGAGGTCGGGCATGGGTGTAGTGAGGAAGCGGTGGCGGGGCTGCATCCCACCACTGGCTAGCTTTACCGAAATAATTACATGGAAACTGTATTCTTTTAAACACTGCTTGGCCCATTAGTTTCAGCCTCTTATTGGCTAGCTCTTACATATTGATCTAACCCATTTCTAATATTCTGTGTAGCACCACAAGCTGGCTTACCAGGAAAGATCTTAACCTGCGTCTGTCTGAAGTGGGAGAATCATGGCGACTGCCTGACTTGGCTTCTTTCTCCCAGCATTCTGTTCTGTTTACTCCGCCTACCTAATTTTCTGTCCTATTAGGCCAAGCAGTTTTCTTTATTAGTTAACCAATGAAAGCAAAAGATAAGATACAAGACCCACCTCCATCACATGGGGAGCCATGATGAGTGCGTCATGGGCTGTTTTTGTCGTCATTCTTCTGAGGTTTGTGTCGATCTCCTCGTCCAATGTTCTTCCCCAGGGGAAGGTTCTGAAAAGTCAGCGCCACCCCCTACTCCATGTATGTCCTGTGCTGTTCTCAGCTGAGCCCTGAGTGCCTTAGGCCCCACCCGCAGAGCAAGAGCTTTGTGCTTTTGTTTTCTGCGCTGCCCTTTACCCAGAAAGGGGTTTAGTCCTGCTTTCTGCCCGGGTAATAATGTGTGCGAAAGGCCTTCCCTACTGAGAGTTCTAGGCTGTGCCCAGTTTTCTTTGTCAACAACTAGGCCTCCACAGTAGGTCAGTCCACCCACTCTTCTGCAGAGGTGCCTGGCTGTGAGAAAGGGTGGGAGGGTTCCTGCACACGCACTTCAAGGCTGTGTTTGGTCTGGTACACTGAATTTGACATTTTAAACAGTGGAATGATCCAGACCCCGGGGAGAACTTGAAATACAGGTCATGAGCTTTATTGAGCTCATTTTTAGTGTTTTAAAGAAAACAACGACAACAACAACAAAAGCCAAGTAGGAGAACTCGCGATGAAAACATCCTGAGGGTGGGCACATGTAATTTTTATCTTGAGGTTGGTATTCTGCAGAAGCAGGTGGGTTGGGGTCTGACTGTGCCTGAGAGTTGGCTCCAAGGTGTTCCTGTCTCAGTGACCCTTGGCCTGGTTTCTGAGCTAGCTAGTTGTTAGAGGAGGGTATCTGGAGTAACAGTCCTGGGAACTAGGGGAAGATGGGAGTGGCTGAGTGCCCACCTTCCCTGTGTGCTGCAGGTGAAGTGGGTGAGGACAGCGGCTGAAAGAGTCAGAGAGTGGCATTTTAGGTTCTGAGCCAGGGCAGCTTGGTGCCCTCTCTGCTGCTGCTGCATTTTCCCACTGTTAATGTCAAACAAAACCTTTGTGGAGAGGCAGAGGGCCAACCGAGTCTGGCCACATCTCTGTGCTGTTGGGATGCTGTGGGGTGACGTGCCTGCACCTCCATGCCCCCTCACCTCCATAATCTATGGCTGACCATTCCTCCTCAGTGATCTCAGGGCTGTGTAGGAAGCAAAGGTAGCTCTCCCTCATGCCATGTGGGTAGGCTGTGTTATCCAGTTCTTACGGTCCTTTTCCCTCATTTTCCCCTCGCTTTGCTGGCCACCAGGCTGGTATCTGCCCTGCTCCTGTCAGGGGCTGCTTAGGGCTGTCTTAGGAGAGACCCAGTCTTAGTTGATAATCCTGGCTTAAGTGTTCCTGATCTTCATGGGAGATACCTAATGAGCCTAAAGACCATAAAGAGACATAAGAGTTTGTTTTTAAGAAAAATACTCTGGCCTGGCAAACCAGCTCAGAGAGGTCAGGATGCTTGCCTTGCCATCCTGTCAATCATATAAAGGTGGAGAAAGAGAACTGACTCCACTCTGACCTCTGACCTCTGTATACATTCTGTAGCAAGCATGCCCACACACATAAACAATAATAAAATACTTAAAATATTTTATACATGAGCCTAGCCAAAAGACTGAGAAGCAAATTTTCTTTTTTCTTTCTTTTTTTTTTTCAGTATTTATTACATTTTTGCTTTTGAGGCAGATACAAACAAACCATTCTCTTTCACCACACACACACAAACAGCCATTCTTGTGATTTTTTAAAGTGCTTTTCCCCTCTACCATTTCTCTGTGAATCTTTATCTTTAGTGGACCTGAAATTTCCTGTGTTAAATAGGCTGGCCTTGAACTCAGGTCTACCTGCCTCTGCCTCCTATGTGCTGGAATTAAAGGTGTGGAACACCACTACCCCACTCCCTTCATGATATTCTTACCTTAACCTTCTAAGTGCTAGAATTACCAAAAGTGTACCACTACGCTTGGCCTAAAAACCACTTTTGTTTACATAGATATATACATATGTATGATCCTTCTTAGATCATGTGTACATAAAAATCTTTATGTATATAATACTGTTACCTAGACATACTATTGATTTCTAATGCTACCAAAATAAAGTATGGCAGCCTGGATGGCTCAAAACAAGAGAAATTACCCTGTAGAAATTTTGGGAGCAAGGATCTGAAATGGAACATTGATAGGACTGTGCTCCATCCAACCTCTTGGCACTGCTTCCAGCTGCTTGGAGCAGTGGCTTTGACTTTCCTTGCTTGTGGCTCCATTCACTGCCTCATCTTCACACGTTGTCTTCCCTCTGTGGTTTCCTGTGTCCTCTCTTCCTGTAAGGGCATCATTCGGATTAGATGCAAGGCCCATTCTCTATCAGTATGACCCATCATAACTGTGTCTGCAAAGATAGAGTTTCCAAATCCAGAAAGGACAGGAATGAGAGATTGATATTCATCCCACTGCGTACTTTTGAAGGATTTTGTGTCTTACGCCTTTCTTTAATTTGGCTAGTGTCCACGTTTTGTTTATCACTGCAATGTGAGGTGTTTATATGCATACACCTTTATGTCTTGTACTGTTGTACTGTATAATCCTGGAGCCAGTCATAACTATAATTCCAGCTCTTGGGAGGCTGAGGCGGAGGTATCACAGTTTAAGGCATGGCCAATCTGAGCTATATGGTCGGATATTCTTTTTCTTTAAGCATCATCTGTTTGTTTGTTTATTTGTGTGAGTGTTGTTACAGCAATGCACATGGGAAGGTCAGAGAACAACTTTCTGGAACCATTTCTCTCCTACCATTGTACTCTAGTTAGCAAGCTTGTGCCAAAAACACACCCCAAGCCATCTCACCTGCCTAGTAAGACATTTGACATTGTCTTTACAAACCAAGGGGTAGGGGTGTGGAGAGATGGCTCAGTGGTTAAGAGCACTAACTATTCTTCCAGAGAACCCAGGTTCAGTTCCCAATGTCCACATGGCAGCTCTCTGTCTGTAACTCCAGTTCCAGGGGACCTGACATCCATGGCAAAACACCAGTGCACCCTAAAGAAGAAAAGACCAGGCATGGTGACACATGTCTTCAATCCATGAACTTAAGAAGCAGATTTCTGTGAGATTCGGGCCAGCCAGAGCTACATAGTACAACCCTGTCTCTAAAAGTGGGAGGGAGGGTGTTGTTAATACCTTTAATCTCGGTACTCTGGAGGCAGAGGCAGGTGGATCTCTGAGTTCGCAACCAGCCTGGTCTACATAATAAGCTCCAGGACAGCCAGGGCTACATAGAGGGATCCTATCTCAAAACAAAACAGAAAACAAGTGCTGGAGAAATGGCTCAGTGGTTAAGAGCACTGGCTGTTCTTTCAGAGGATCCAGGTTCAATTGCCAGCATTGTGATCGATCCTTGGAGTGGAAGCAGCAATTGGTGGCAGCATATCCCTTCCGAGTTGAGGTGGAGCATTCTCTTATAAGCAAAGGCAATTCACTGTCCCCCAAAAACAGCCAGGGAAGTCTCTATCCCTTCTGCCTTAGAGTCAGCCCTCATCTCACTCTTCCTTCCCAAAGTCGGCCTGGCCTCCACACAGGTGTGCATAGAACAGCAGAGTGTGTGCACGCATCCTAGTGTGGGAGCACTATGTACTGCCTGCTCCGGGATGGAGATGTTCAGACATTCCAGGGCCAGGTCAGAGACAGGAGAATGGTGTAGCTAAATGTTTGTAACTGTTATGCTCTGCTGAGTGGTTTGATTGAGGACATGCATGTATGTGTTAAAAAGATTTTGTTTCCACAGTATAGAAAATCATACAGAAAAAAAGTGCCTCTCCTTCCCCGCCCTCCAGACCTGCTCACAGGGGTCTCCAGAGGAAGACTGGTCCTTCCCTGTCTGTGTTTGTTCCTGGCTCAGCAGCTGTCCTTCTGAACCTGTCTGCCCTCTGTCTCTTCCCCTCTCAGACTTTGACCTCTGGTCATCAAGTGACTGTGAGCAGAATGAGTCAGAACCCATCCCTGCCAACTGCACTGGCTGTGCCCAGGTATTCCCCCTCAAAGTAACGCTCCTAGAGGACACTCCGAAGACTTTTGAGAGACACCGTCCTCTGGTGATCAAGGTAGGCAAGAAGCCAGGTTTTCCTATGAACAGCCTGCCCACAAAAGGCCGGATCAAGCCCTGCGAAGCTGTGGTAACTCACTGTGGCCTTCTTTGTCTTTCTGTGTCACCAAGGCAGGGAAGCCTCTGTTGTCTTCAAAGATTCAGCATTTCTCATGCCAGTACCCTGAAGCCACAGAGGGCTTCACTGAGGGGTTTCTCACCAAGTGGTGGCGCTGCTTTCCTGAGAGGTGGTTCCCATTTCCTTACCCATGGTGAGTCTGGAGGGTGCTTAGCTTGCATGTGAGGAAGGGGCAGGGCAGGTGTCAGAGCTGTGAGAGCCAGCACCATAAATGATCAGTTCACAGCACACCTTCAAGTCAAGGACAGAAGCCTTTGTCAGCCTGCCGTGCACTGCAAGGAGGAAGAAGGGAGCAGGGTCCCTAAGGAAGGTGCTGCCATGCAGCTCATGTATCCAGTACTTTCTCCTGTGATAAACACTGTGACCAAATACCGTGTTTATCTGGGCCCGTGTTTCCAGAGCAATGAGAGGCCATCACCTGGACCCAGCAGACAGTCTTTTTTTTGTTCTTGTTTTTTGGGATTTTTTTGTTTGGTTTGGTTTGGTTTTGGTTTTGGTTTTCAAGACAGGGTTTCTCATTGTAGCCTGGAAATAGGCTACAGTGTAGTTCTGTAGACCAGAGATCCACCTGACTCCGCCCCTGAGTGCTGGGATTAAAGGCATGTGCACCACCACTGCCTGGACAGACAGTCTTTTTTTTTTTTTTTTTTTTTTTTTTTTTTTTTTTTTT